CGTGACTACACACACAGACACATACACCACGCAGGCGGGCCAAACATGGCGGCATTTATCACAACAGGCAACAATCCCCAGCCACAATGTAGCGAACGTTACAGGGGTGCACCCCAGGCTGCCACACTGGCACACCTGCAGAGGAATTGCTACGCTTTTGCTACATTTGCAATGGAAAGTTAGCTTGGGTTGGTTCTTCCCTGGGAGGGGTGGGACCTGCATTTGGAGAGCCCTGGTCTTCCCCTCAATTAGACCTGTGCCTTTGACACATTGCTTTAAAGACGAGGGGTTATGGATCTATGCTTGTGAGACTTGGTAGAACAACCTTAATTAAACTTGAATATCATGACTTTACAATGGCGGCATTACCAGGCTATCTCTTGTCTATTCGGTGAGCTCAGAATTTCAAACTGGCACACCTGACAGCCATGCAAATGTGGTTAATTCCAAATATCAGGCATATTGTCAAACACACATGATTACATTGATAGGTTGCTGTCTTGTTCAAATGTGCAGAAAGATAATTTGAGCAAGCTAAGATAAGTGAGAAAAAGTATAAAGGCATGAATGCATTCCTCCACAGCCAATTATGACATATGATTGTATCTGACACCACAAAGAGTGTAGTCTATGTCTTGGCACTGCTTGAACGGTTCTTTGTTGTGCTTAGATAAACACAAATACTGTTAATGCCCAATTGTTTGCCTTACACACCATTTACTGTTTTACATGCCCACTCCAGGTGATAAAATGACAGCCCAGGCTTTCTGTGTTTACTTGTAAACAAGACTGATGTAGGCACAATATCCCATGGACACTTGCACATATGTAGGTCAATAGGTCAGTCTTACCCAGGAAGGGTATGAACACTTTATTTCAGTACCTCAGAAAAGTACAGATTTAAAAAAAAAGTACAAACCTCAGTAGGAAATAATCTACTTCAAAGAGGTTCAGGAAGGAAATTGTGCTAAAGACTGGGTTGAAAGACCTATGATTATAAACAAAGGTGTCCTTACCTCAGGCTAAAGTATGACAAGTAAGGGCAGGTGAGTCCACTAATGACACATCTGTCTGTGCCCTCAAGGCTGTCTGTGCCCTCAAGACATTGCAAGTCTGTACCTGATCTGGGCACCTGAGACAGACAGTTGAGTTGACATTGTAGTTTTGTAAGTTGTTATCTTGAATAAGAAGATTAAAGTAGGTGAGCAAGTGTGTCTGTGCCATCAAGGCACTGTAATTGTCTATATTCTTAACAGTATCACCTGACCACCAAACAGTGTCACTACACTAACCTGTGTCCTTGGGTGTCAAGTATAATTGAGGCGAAAGGAATGGGACGAATAAACACGAGGGCTGGGAGGAAAACTATCTGACTCATGTTTAATGCCTTGCAGCTAAGTGTACCATTTCACAGACTTTCCCTCTGACAGTGTACTTTTATGTTGATCTACCAATCAGCATCATCATGAAATATGATACCCAACAAAAAATAGATTAATTTTTGGAAGTGTTGCAAATGTGTTGCCTTAAAATGAAGACACTTGGAGGAAGGATCCATCTCTTAATGTATTTAATAGGTCTGTTTGTGCCTTGGCAGTGTCACCTGAGAAGACAGGTGTGTCTCCCTAAGAGGACAGGTGCCTTGTTGACATATTGAGGATACAAACTTGTGTAATTTGTGGTTGACCAAGTGCCTATAGACCTTGTCCAGAAGCTGGCTGGTGTCAGACAGGCCAGCTTGTGGTTGCCTTTTGGTAATGCCTTACATCTGGCTTATGTCATGTGCAGGAGGTCCTTAGACATGTCTTAGACAGGGAGGTCTTTCCAGACTTGCTTGAAGGAATCCCAGAGGAAGGAAAAGAGGTTAGGAGGGCATTGTCCCCATCTGGGGTCACAGGAGTCAGTTCTTTGGAAGAAGATAAAGCAAGACAGTACTACTTAGCAGTCTCCTTGTCTGTAGTCCACATTGGGGAGAAGAACAGTGTTTTGAGATGTAAACAGAGGCCTTAATAGGAAAACTTTAATCCACTATAAAATGCTTTCTCCTAAGGCTCACAAGAAAGGAGAAAGTTTGGCATAACATGCATTTATGTTACAATGACGATAAATTCTCTCACTACAGCACTGGTAGATAACTGCACACAGTCATGTGGTGACACTGACATACCTGCCATGACAGCACAACAACATGGATGACCTAACCTTTTTTTCAAGGTCACCCAGAGAATGTTGCAGACTTCTGTTGAACACAAAGCCTTACCTGCTTTTGGTGAGCAGTGGCGATACTGAGTATTATTTTTTAATCTTCAATTTTCCTGTTCTTTTGTATTTTGCTCTGGCATGGTTAATGTTACAGGTCCTGGAGTGTCTTTATCATAGTTTCTTTGTGTATCATTTATTTATTGGAGCACCCTTTGTGACATTTATGGTTGGTTTGTTCTCTTTACTGTCATTTGTAACGTGACACTGTTACCTGTGTCATTCATGTTAGAGCAGGAGGTTTTGTGACTGATGACCTGAAAATAAGCGGTGTAAACTAATAAATCAGGGCTGCTTCAGTTCAAGTTGTTATTTTTTTTATTGGCTTACTTGCAAAATCTTAATCTGCATGCTATTTTGTTTCTCGTGTTTGGCCCTGGTTTACCAATACGTGTACTTTATTCAAGACTGCACTATGAAAACTTTTTCACACAAATTTAATACATAACGTTATGTGCATGGCCTTGACTTTATTCATACATCTACATCTATTTCAGAGCTTATCTTTTGTCATTGTTATTTGTAATAAAGAATCTTTAATATTTTGGTTTCTGTTTTGCCCTGTCTGTAAACAGAACAGAGTTGGTGATAAAATTAATGCTAACATCACTGGTATGTTCTAAAGTCCATTGGTAACACTACGTTCCAACAACCCTAACCCAATGTGGGAATGTAGGGTTGTTGGAGGATAGGAGCATAAGAACATAGGTGTGTTGGAACATAGGAGTGCCCCCAAGGTCAGTAACAAAGTTTATCCCCCCTCCCCCCAACAAGATGATTACCAAGTACCATCTTTCAGGAATCACGATCAAATAACTGTCGCACAAACATTTACGTTTTTTACGATTATAGGAAGCATGCAAGCGTTCTGACTGACTAGGTTCATTTCATGTCGTAATCTTTCATGAAATCCTCCTGGAAGGTAATTCAGGGCTCTTAGGTAACAGGGCATTTATTGCAAAAATGACACGTTCCATAAAAACGTAAAATGTTTAAAGATTTTCCATTAGCATCAGTGGCCTGGGGTTGGTGATTGCGCTCGCTCGACGTGCAGGTTTCCTTGACTCTCATGCAAACCCGTTTTATCGTTGTCAGTGCAGACATTTTAAAGCTGCAGAGGGCAATAAATTTCATACCATTCTACAGCAGAATTAATAGGTCTAAAATTGATATCATTTCAAGGCATACTTTTCTAATTTTGAATTTGACATCTAGATATACTTTTCCTGGGAAAAAACAGGAAATATATGTGATCTGTCTAGATGTTGCAAAATCATGACATACTTATCTACCTTTTTGCTGCTTTAATTCTGAGACAGCTACAGGCATGCAGTTATGAAATTGCCGAGTAATTAGTGACTGCCTGAGGCTCAACGTGACCTGAAGGGGGCCCTACATTTGCAGTGGGAAAATAATTGCTTTAATCATGCTCCCTGTTGAGAATCAAATTCCTGTATCTATGCTGCTCCCCAACCCTTTTTAAACAACAGCAATAGGGGTGGGAGGGCAGTATAGACATCATTTGCATTTTCAACTTGGCTATACAATGTATATTCCCCAAATAGGTGATGAAAGGGGCTGTTTTTAGTACAAATGGATTGATTTAGTCCTGGGTTCCCCTATAGGACTGTGTGTGTAGCTGTAGGTTTATGCTGCCTCCTTAAGCCCCCTTTATATCCCAATCAGTCGGGACACCTCTCTCTCGGAGAGGGCAACTTGCAAATGTTAGGCAGTTGTTTGTACACAGACATGGGGGCAGCCAACTTGCACCAAGTCACCTGCTGTCTTTCTGCACAAATGGTTAGGCTACACCTAGTTGATTCGTTGGTTTACGTACAGATTTACGAATATTATGCTGAATTGTCAAACATCTTGAAAACAGAGTTTGAACGGAATATTTGTACCCTGGTGCATACAGTTTCAGGGAGTGAATGTAGCATATACTTTGTTGTAATACTACTCATGTCCTATTGTGCCAAGAACATACCAATACAAAAGTAGGAATAAAGTATACATAGTACATGTATTGGTGACATATAATACTAAAAATCCAAATCTAACCAGATTTAAGGTTTACTCTTAATAGTTCCCTGTTTTGTCCTCTTCCTAAAATGTCCCAATATTGGAGAACTGAGAAAATGCATTGGTGTGGCAATGCATGAACAAATTTCTCTGCACAACAAGGTTTGTTGTGGAGCCCGATGTGGTAACATGCCCACGCCAGACAGACAGGCGGTGGTGTGTGTGTTGTCCCACTGCGTTTTAATCTGCGCTGCCAGTGGTATCAGAAATATTTGATTATCTTGGAAGGTAGCAGCATGTCACATCAATCTCCTTCTTGACATGTTCATCGGCCTGTCAACTTTGGCGAGGTTCGGAAAAATAAAGGATGAGGTGCAGCCATTCAATTTCCCAGCAGCACACTGTTACGATGTAAAGCCAAGGGTAAGGACTACCAGACCTTAGCAGGGCTTATTTTCCAAGGTGGTAATTATGAAGTGATCTTTCCCATTTCGGATGTAAATCCTCCCCTCACTGCCTCTGTCAGCACAGAACCTTTCACAAACGTGGCCGTGGCTGAGTCGAGTTGATTAAGTCTCGTTTGACATGTAAATGAGGGAGCGGGGAGGCCCGGGGGTCAAGTGTAGCCTGTGGGTTGAATGTTATCACAGTCTGCCCAGACGTTGGTTATGTACAGGCTGCTCCAACATGTTGCATTCTCCCGTTGTCTGTTCCTCCAGTGTGCTGGCGCTGCGCAAGGAGAAGTCAAGGGATGCCGCAAGAAACCGACGGGGAAAGGAGAACTACGAGTTTTACGAGCTGGCCAAGATGCTGCCGTTGCCGGCGGCGATCACCAGCCAGCTGGACAAGGCCTCCATCATCCGACTCACCATCAGTTACCTGAAGATGAGGGACTTCTCCGGGCAGGGCGATCCCCCCTGGAACACCATCATGGACTGTCCCCCTCCCAACAAATCTGTTAAAGGTAAGAACAATTGGACTTGCCTAATACGTACGGTTTTTATTGGGGGGGGGGTGTTTTTAAAATGTGGCTTGCTAGGATGCTTCTTGTCCCACAAATCTGTCACAAGGCAAGCTAATTGATAATTTAAGTCATACAAATTTATTTCGTTGTTGCTCACATTCTTGAAGATAAATTGCAAATGAAAAGGGTAGAATCTAATGTAGTATCAGGTCCATGTCATCCTCTCCAGGCTCTTTTTTTCGCTATCTAGTATCATTTCAGTCTTCTTTTAGGGGGGTTGTGGGAAGGTGTTTTTGAAAAATAAAAAAATTTAATGAGGATGCTCTTGGTGCAGCAGGGGGCATATTTTTGACTTGTACATGTAATTGTTGTAAATGCACATAAGCAGCCAGGTAATAAACATGTTTACTTGAAAGTAAATACAATGGAGCATTGGAGGTTAATTGCAAGTAACAGTTGGCCATGACAGGAGTAGGACAGTGTACTAGAATAGGTATAGTCTGTATTATAAGGAACAAGTCCTAATTACCTGAAAGGATCATGTACTGTAACATGGTTGGTTGGCTCTTGGGACACAGTGGAACAGAACATGTACATGGGCTCTTTGATTTCAGGTGTTAGAGTCTTTCGTAACCATTGTTCTTTACCGCCTAGTGTTGGGGAGTTGTTTTTAAAACGTTGGCTTGTTAGGGCCTGCGTGCTTTCTGTGTAATCAGACAGGCATCTCTGCTCTTTCACATGCTCCCGACACTGAACTCCGGATAATGAAATTGTCGACTTGTATGTAGGGAGGCCCTTTACACAGCGGAGTCATATGACGGGAGTATAATGGGATCTGTAATGCTCAGATGCGAACCGTTATGTAATTATATCAATCTGTCCGGGACTATTTATTGTCAATTTGATGTTACAAGCCAGGGCCTGTACCTGCAGCAGGGTTGATCGTATCTCGGTGCTGCGTCGTAATTCTAGCAGACAATTACCCAGGTATCTTTTGTCCCGATCACGATGAGTAAAAGGGTCGGCACTCTGGCATTATTAAGCCGACTGCAGTAGCGCCGATCCAATTGGCGGGGCAGTATCCCTGCCTTAATTCTGCATTATTAGTTGGTCTCCCATAGTTTATTTCTTCAGCGCCTTTTCTAAATGCGTTCGGCAGTCTGAGCCTGATTGCGGTGTAGGCCTGAGGATTGGGACGTCAGCTCGGATGTTATGGTAGCCCACACCAAAGGCTGGTGGTGAGCCTGTGTTTGGGGGAAGGGTTGTTCACACACTATTCAAGGATGAAGGAAATCCTCCCTCTAGGCCATGCCGACAGAATTTCATTTTTCTTCGACATTTTGTGATGGGAAAGCAACCAAAAATCTCATGAAGTCTTTGGGTATTCTCTCTCTGCAAAAAGCAAACATTGGAATCCTCTCTCCAGGCTATGCCAACAAAATATCTCATCTCTCTGACATTTTGAAACAAAGATTATACAATACTTTTAAAAGTCTTTTAAATCCCTGTTCATAGTGACTGTAAATTCTAAGCAATGAACAAATTTTTCACAAATTCCTAGAACTACATGCTCAAAACATTGTCGACCATTTGTTTCTAATGCTGAGTCACAAGCTGGCTGGCTGTCAAAACCACAGGCACGGTGTGAGATACCAGGAACAGAACACCAAAATAAACAAAATGATAAGGCAAGGAAATGGCATCAGCATGGCATTAGCAATATGCAAGTCTCAGTATGTAAAAAGTCTTGTATAATCCTTTGTTTTATCAAGGAGGATCTCTTTTAAACCTCCTTGGTATCATCTATTGCTGGTATACTTTTGTTGTTCTGGTGTATTCAACTTAGGTAACGATTAAGAGATACATCAAGGTATTGGTCTATCTAAACATGACAGCGACTTTCGTAAAGTCAACTTCAAACTGCAAAATAGAAAAAAAACCTTAAGATTTTTAAATTAGTTACTCAACAGTTTAGGGGCCAACATATGAAATATATATGAATCAAATCTGTAATATCTTGTTTCTATCAGGTTGGGGCTTATTGTGGGTTTTAGTCATTTTTCTAATAACAAAGCAATATTTTATGTATTAACCTAATTTTTCATTATGATTACTATCACATCTAAATACATATTCAAATCTGCCGGTGGCATTGAGCCCCATGAAGTTTCTTGTACACTTATACTTATAGGAGGACGCTTGTATTTGGTAAAATCGAGGACCGGCCATTGTGCTGGCCTGCTGGTCAGGAAAACTGGACAGGAATCATGTATCGATTCCTGATCATCTTGGTCACGGCCATCAAAAATGTCTTAAAATTTTCATGTCTTAGGGACTGTTAATGCCCCAGAAATATTGATTTATTGGCTATTGTTATATATTATTGATCTGTACATTAGAAGGCCAATACGCAGGCTGGCGGATTAGTGAAGTTGAAGGGGTCATGAAGTTTAACAGCTTTATTGCAGGGAGCTGAGTAGTTTTAGGGGGTTCATGAATAGATGAATTCTGACTTCCACAGACCACAAAAACTGCATGCACACAAGGGGATGCATGTTATTATTCAGAGATTTAGTTTCTAGTGTTATTTTAGGCACAACATGCTCACTAACAAACAAGGTACCTTGATAAAGAAATGAAATCTGCATATTATGGTCCTATAATGCAAAGAGTTTCAGTTTCTAGGATCAATACCATGTGCCAATGTTAGCAACATAGGACAGCCCCAACGTTTCCAAAAATTGGATTTTTAAAAGGATACTTGGCATCCTAGTTAAGTCCTGGCAGCTTCTCTTATCTCTGGGTTCAGGTTCATTCCAGATCACATCACTTTCAACTGCTCAGAGACTCTAAATACAAATCAGCCTCTGCCTGCGTGACATAAACAGAACAAATTCTTATTTACATGCGTTGAAAAACACTCAGTTCGTTGTTTGCCATAGTATGACATTGAGCAACAGAGCTGTGACCCTTGTCTGTGGCGGCAGCTCTCATTGGCTGAGAGCCACCCTGTCATGCTTACCCCTGCCCCCTGGTGTGTGCATAGGGCAGACCTCAAGCCATTTATAAGTCTATCTGTCAAAAACAATTGGTCCTATCACACAAAAATAAACAACATTGTTTCATCATTTTAAACAGAAAAAACTGGTTTTGTAGAAAGCAGTGTAGTAAGAAAAATTCACTGTATGTATTAAAGGAAAGAAAGAAGAATTAAGTATGTAGAGTAATCTGTCTAGCCTGGTGGTAATACCACACACACAGTCTGTTGCCCTATTTACATGGCAATAATTGATATCTTACAGCATCTGACATGACGTACATAAATCTACACCTTAATGAGGTTTATTGTCTTTTGGGGTGCAGTTTTGAAACAGAATAACTCCATACATTAGGGGACAAGCCAATAAGCATGCAGGGAGTGGGGGGTATGAAAATAGCAGAACAAGGTAACATTTTGTGTACTAGGTTTTGTTTTTGGTGTGTTTGTCTGTTTGCTGTTATTTGAATACAGCCACAACCCTAAATACTTCACAGAGGTGTGAAATCTTTGATTTCTTGCCAGTTTTTGTCTTGCTTTTGGATATGCCATTACTTTCAGTTTATTGTTTGGTATATCTTTTTTTTTGCACTTTGTTTTAAAAATTTGAACACCACAACCTTCCTCAACTGTCCCTAACATTGCAGGATAAGTTTGTATATACTTGCTGTTAAGAGCATGATAATTCTCCCTTTTTAGATTTGCAAATACTTTTTTCTATTTTTCTTTTTATTATTTTTTATATACATATAGCTTCCTTGCAGTTTCAAGATATTCTGGATTAAACTCTATTGCAGACATAAATTTGTAAATAACTACAGGCATATTTCAGTTTTGGGGAAATGTAGGGTCTTTTAACTTTTAATTTGGAGAAACAGACTGTTGAACTATGATGTTGTTTAATGTCATTTGAATTATGCACATAATATATCGCTCCAAATTCTGTTCTGCATTTTTGCCTGATGAATTAAAAATAATAATAATGCTATGCATTTGTAAGGTCCCACCACTTGTGAATAAGACAATGCTAGTCAGGCATACATGCATCAGTGTGAATCACTGCTCCTTGGGTAATTATACCAAGGATGACATTACCAAGTCATCTGCATGGGTAGAGATTGCATGATGACGTGATGTAACCACAAGATTTCAACAAGGCTGCAAAAGCTCATCTGACCTTGTCTGCAGCATTTTGGGCAGACAGAAAAAATTGGGTCAAATCAATCATTGCCATTTTTTGCATGTGGCAGGGGATTCCCTGCATTGGACACAAGGTCAGGGTGACCTGCCTTAATTTTATACCTCCCTACATGTATATGGAGGTTTTGTTTTTGGTGTGTCTGTGTATTTGTCTGTGTTTATGTTGTTATTTCCATGCATGTGCTAGGCAGGTAGGGATACTGAGAGGAAGTTAGGTCAAGGGCTCAAGAAAGGTCCTGTCTTTAATTTACTTCTTTTTGGTTGTCCCTTAGATAATTTTTCCCATTATATTCTATTTGACACTAGAATTAAGTATCGTGTCTATTGTGACCACCTGTCCACAAAGACCAGATTTTTATCGGTCTTCTTGCCATGGGCAGTTTTGACTGTACATCCTACCAGGTGACTGGCCTTTTTTGTCAAGAATCAGCTCTGGCCTGGGGCATCCTTTGAGAAATCATCATGGTGTATGGTTATGGCCAGGAAATAATCCGATTGTCAGCCGCTGATCAGATGGCTATGGGCAGTCCACGCTGTGTTGCAGCAGTTGCCAAATCTCGTAAATCAAGCTGTAGAAAGAGATGTTTATCTTCTGATGATTGAGGGTCCACATGGGGGATCCTGGCAACTTTAGGACTATTGTGAAAGGTTTAGGGAACAATTTCGTTAGTAGATTTTGATTATTTTATTGTAAATGATGGAGATCATATTTCTAACATTGCACATCCATGTTATGGATGGATAATAGACCTCATAGAGAATT